TAAATGCTTAAGAAAAGCATACCTACTGGGAATTTTATTTTCGAACTTCCAATGCTAGGTATAAATGCGCTTAGCGCAATTCCAACGGCCCTTCTTTTCAACATCTACCAGACCTCAGGAGACATCGGTGCAATCAACCATGTCATCGATAAACCAACGTGGGACCAACAATTCATTACCACATCCATCTGATCATCAGTTTCAACAAGCAAAACCATCGTTCTAATATCCAAGCGACGATCCAATACCGTAGGAACGCTCGCAACCTATAATTTATTATTCATCTCAATATCTAATCGCTAAGTATCAACTGAATCCTAATCCTAAATTCATCTTAAGATCTTTCGTATCAAATCGCTCTTTCATTTTGCTTTCATTCCCAGTCAACGTTTATTAATCCCCTTTTAATGGTACATTTTCTAAATTGCAAATTCGAAAAAAATAAGAGTGTGCTGATCAACACTGGTTTCCTACGTCACTCTTTCCATTCCATTTTCGCTGGACAGCATTTTTTGTTAAATCCGACATTTATTCATTATCCCTAAAGAAATATAGGTTTAAATACCCTACAAGCAAATAAAAAGCTTAAGTGAAGTGAAGTTAACCGCTCTTCGATACATAGGAAAAAAGCACGCACGATTTGCGACCCCCACCCGCTATAATGCATATATGCACAGTTTCGGTTTAAAACTGCAATAATGCATATTAGAAAACAAATGCATATATGCACAGTTTCGGTTGAAAGCCGCAATAATGCATATTAGAAAAACCGAAATAACGCATATGAGAAAAACGAAGTAATGCATACATGCACAGTTTCGGTTGAAAACCGAAATAATGCATCTGAATTAAACCGAAATAATGCATATATGCACAGTTTCGGTTCAAAACCAAAATAATGCATATGACAAAAACCAAAGTAATGCATACATGCACAGTTTCGACTCAAAACCGAAATATGACAAAAATCGAAATAGCGTATACATGAAAACGAACTTCTCTAGCGTAGGCGGCCTTCGGCCGCGCTTAGGATTTATATCCCTTACTAAGTAAATTCTCCTTTCTGTGTTGCCGGAAAAGGGGACCGGAATTATTTTTGCGCATAACTTCTTTCTGCGTAGGCGACCTTCGAACGCGCTTACGGATTACAACCCATACTAAGTAGAATTCTCCCTTCTGTGTTGCCGAAAAAGTGGGGCGGAAGTATTTTTGCGCAGAACTTTATCGGCTTAGGGATTAAAACCCTTACCCTTCTCCTTTCTGTTTTGCTGGAAGAGAAGGGCGGAAGTATTTTTGCGCAGAACTTCTGTCTACGTAGGCGGCCTTCGGCCCAGCTTAAGGATTAAAACCCTTACCCTTCTCTTTTCTGTGCTGCCGGAAAAGGGGGGCGGAAGAGTTTTTGAGCAGAACATCTTTCTGCGTAGGCGGCCTTCGACCGCGCTTAAGGATTATAACCCTTACTAATAATTCGTTAGAAAAACGAAATAATGCATATAACAAAAACCGAAATAATGCATATGTGAAAGACGAAGTAATAATCAAACCGCTTATCCAAATTAAACATATTTGGTATCAAATGAAAGAGGACTTAAATAGCTTTAAAACTATAATGTCTAAACGAGGAAAGCGACACATTGAAAAATATTTCAACAAAAAAATGTTAATTAATTACCATAGAACAAACCTTATGTTAGGTATATGCATTTCTTTAGTATTAAATTGTAAAAAAAAATATAAATAGAGGTCGTTCGTTATTTATGTTTAAAAGCTATTTCAGCCCTATTTCATATGATACCAAATTTATTTAATTTGGACAGGCCGTTTGTTTATTATCCGGAAAGGACTTTTATTTTGGAATAATATTCGCAACAACCCTGATGCATAGATGCACAGTTCCGGTTGAAAACCGAAATAATGCATATGAAAACCCCAAAGTAATGCATACATGCACAGTCTCGGTTGAAAACCGAAATAATGCATATGGCAAAAACCGAAATAAAGCATACATGCACAGTTTCGGTTGAAACCGAAGTAATGTCTAAATGCACAGTTTCCATATGCGCAATTTCGGTACCCCATCATATACATATCTGTGTTCGTATGGAATAGTGAGTGAAAAACTCTCAAGTGGGCCACCCAAAATTGGACGGTCAAGATAACTTTATTCGGTTTACAACCATAAAAAAAATATATATAATTTGAGCTATTTCGCAAAATTCGAAGTTTTACAAGAGTTATTGTTATTAACTTTTTTTATGAATTCAGTAATTATTTATTATCCACTAGCTAATTAGACACGCTTTAGCCTGATTGTT